AGTGTTCCAACGAGGAAAAGACCCACAGTTTATTGCTTGATGTACAAGATCATGTCAGTCTCACCACTAAAGGTGCCACAGGTATTCGAAGTTCGACAATGCCTCCACATGTAACACCTATATGATCGAAGTATGCCAACCTAATTAAATCATTTGTCAGAAGTGAAGAGGTTCGAAAATATATTTGGAAGTCTATCGATATGTCGGAAAGTGTCTGATCAAAGCTGGCTAACGGTTGCAAGTGATGAGTAGTATGGTGTACCCACTGGTGATCTGGTGAGAGTTCGTGACCGTGCATCTTCAGCCAAATGTGCCCATTAACATTATTAAGGTTAGCACCAGACTTTGAAGACTTACAAAACTATTTCTTTTGGGGCTTTATGCTCCGCTACTGTTTCTTCATGAAAGTCGTCCACATTTTATTCGACCTTCGGTTATTTGTCGATCTATGACAACCAAGTATGTTTGGCAAGTTCACCGTTACCCTACTTTACGAACGCTTTCATTGACTCTTACTAAATTAATCTCATAAGACAAAAAGGTTAACTGAAAATCATAAACGCAAAGCAGAGAGCACGCTACTTGATTATATATCGTAAGCTATTTGTGATCTCCACCAAGCATATCCGGACGCTTGCGTCGAATCATCAACAGAATTTTGGTATATACATCTAACGAAATTTCCAGTGTTTTAATATGATAATGTTTCACCTATGTTATCCAACAAGGAGTTATTTTCGAGGAATTAGTCCAAATGTACGTGCAGTAAGCGACATAATCAAACGAGGTACTTTACATATATTTGCATAGAATACTCCATTTTAGAGAAGAATATCGACTTTTCCCCTTGATTTACACTGTCACGTCCGTTGTCTTCCCCTATTTCGCCTTAAATCACCATTTAGTGGTTTATTGGATCCTTCTGAGATAACAATCACTACTGAATTCACTTGATTAACGAAAGTTCATCTGCACGTAGTGCCACCGACGGCATGACGAGAAAGTTAAATCGAATAGCATTATTCAATGGTGATAAGAGCCAAAACTGCAACACAGTGTAGAATGGCCCAGAAGAATGTTATAACATTATTATAACCTTTAGTTACAGGGTGTGGCCAATAAAGTTGAAGAACAAATGACAGAGATAGCCTCTTATTTGGATAACACAGGTAGCGAATGTATGAAAAGAGCCAAACTAATATATTCGTTTTGCAAATGATACAGAGAAACAATGGATAAATGTGGTTGCACACAAGGTGTCACGAATAAATTAAGAAAATTTGGTCCTGATCTTTTTTTCATAAAAAAGTCACTGAATATACATGTCAATATTGTCAAATACTGGAACTCACTACCGGCTGAAGTAATCCAAGAAATTTTTGAGGAGCCTTTCAGAAGATATATTCGTAAGGAGTAGGAACGGTATCTCATCATAATCTACTAATGCTTCACTTTGTTTTTTAAAATAAACTTATGTTTTAACCTGAGGGTGTCTGTGATCTACTGTTACTTGATTCGGGATCCCGTTGAGTGAAAAATTCTTCTACTTCAAGCCATCGCCGAAGTCATAGAGGGAGGATAAACAAATCGCGATCTAATTAACTCAGAGTGATGAAAAATGGACTACGGTACGTAGGAAACGAAACGAAAAGAAAAAAGTTGTAAGCAGTACACAGGTAGTTAGTAACTCACTGGTGGACTCAAATTGTGAGCCACAAATCGCACTACCAAGATCTGATGGTAAGAGTGAAACCCATCCTGGCGTGACTGAGAAGAAAAATCTAATAAAATCGGATATTATTGTGAGCAAATTGCGGGAGTCAAACGAACCTGATCCGAAAATTAGACACGGGCATGACTTAGAAAAGCTAGGAGAATACATTCGTAGTATTTTACCAGATAACTTCAAAGGAGTTCAGGTCAAAAAATTGGTAAGAATAGGCAAGAGGACCGAAGACAATGTTGAACCCCGTCCATGCAGACTCCTTAAGGTAATCCTAGGATCGGAGAAGCAACGGGATCTCTTGTTAAGTAGCGCTCGTAGTCACGACAATTCTGACATCCGAGTTAGACCTGACATGTCTCTCGAAGATAGAATAAAAAGGATGAAAGCGCTAGCTGAACTTGAAACCCGTCGCCAAAACGGCGAGGAAAATCTCCGACTAGTGGGTTTTCGGATAGTCAGGTCTTGGAAGCGAATGCTACCAAGGCCTGTGTGGATAGGCTGTTCTACTTAGGAGTTTTATATGCAAACGCTCGTAGTTTACGAAATAAGTTCTATGAACCAGAAGCGCTAGTAGACAGGTTAAAGCCACTCATAGTAGCAGTGACAGAAACTTGGTTAGCCCATGACTTAGACATTACTCCAGAATTATCCGGATACCATTGCATCAGGAGTGATAGACATAGATGTAGAAAAGGAGGCGGCGTCCTGTTATATATAGCCAATGGCATAAATATCCGCTCCTCTACTAGCGAATCCCATGATAGCGGCACTTGTGAAGTCATTAGCTGTAAGTTGTTAATAGGATGCACTAATGCAGCATGTGTCCCAACCCACACGTTTTGGTGTTAACCAGGGTTCTTCTCTGCTGGATTTGGTAATCACTCATGAGACTGAGGATATTGTCGACTTAAATATTCTTCCACCGTTAGTAAACAGCGATCACGCTGTTTTGTCATTCGCGTTTAGAACTAGGGACACGTTATACGATCAGGTTACACCACGCCCAAATGTATGGAAAGCTAACATATCAGCCATTCAGGAATGCGCTGCTAAGACAGATTGGTTAGTAAATACTAGCATATCAGTTGAAGAAGCATGGTCTGTATTTAAAGGTAAATTTAGACTAGTTACGTCCCCGTTCATACCATACCTGGTACCGCGAAGAACGAATAACAGTCCACCAAGGATAACTAAAACGGTCAGGAAACTCCTTAGAAAAAGGAAGAATCACTGGAATATGTTCATCTCTACTGGCTTAGAACAATACAGATCCAGTTACTGTAAGATTAGGAATGCCTGTAAAGCGTTAATAAGCAAGACTAGACATTCATACGAAAAACAATTGGTTAGGGATTCTAGATATAGTCCGAAACGGTTATTCTCGTATATAAAAAGCCGAACTAAGAGAAGCGATGGAATTCCATCACTTTTGATACGAGACAATCCGTTAATCTTAGCAGAGAATGATGCCGAAAAAGCTGAAGCTTTATCGGAATATTTTAGTAAAGTGTTTTCTATCGGTAATGAGGAACGACCAATGATTCATTGTGACCGTGACGGCTCGCTGATGGATCCTGTAGTCATTGAGAAAGATACTGTTTTAAGGCTACTTCAGCATCTCAAACCTGATAAGTCCAGTGGTCCCGATGATATTCATCCTAGGATTATGAGAGCCATATCAGATGAAATTGCTGAACAATTAGCGATACTATTCGACATATCTCTGAGACAGTCCAGACTTCCTAGAGACTGGAAAGACGCCATAATAAGTCCGGTGTATAAGGCTGGGAGTAGGGATTTAGTTAGCAACTATAGAGCCGTTAGCTTAACTAGTGCAGTTGTGAAACTGATGGAGAAAGTCTTTCGGATATCTGTTATAAACTATGTTGAAGGGCAAAATCTTTTCTCCAGGGCACAACATGGTTTTCGGAAAGGCCTATCTTGCTTGACAAATCTTCTCATTGCACGAGAAGAGTGGGCTGCGGCAAAGGATCGGAATGCTCCTGTGGATGTAATTTTCATAGATCTAAGTAAAGCCTTTGATAAGGTTTCACACTCTGGTCTTAAATTCAAACTGAAACGTTTTGGAATCCATAACACAGTCGTCGATTGGATAAGTAACTTTCTCAATGACAGGAGACAAAGGGTAAGGGTTAATGGGGCTCTCTCCTCGTGGGTACCTGTAAAATGTGGGGTTCCCCAAGGCACAATCCTAGGTCCTCTTCTCTTTCTACTTTATGTAAATGAATTGCCAACTGTAGCAAAATCATCCGTTCTACTCTTCGCTGATGACATAAAGATTTGGAGACCCATACATAGTATGTCGGATAGAATAGTATTACAGGACGATCTTAGCTCATTGGTGGCATGGTTAGACAGGTGGTCACTAGAAGTAAATCCTAATAAGAGTGTAGTGATGCAGTTAAATAACTCTGATGAATCGTATGACTATACACTACGTGGATTCGTGCTACCCAAAGCAAGAAACTATAAAGACTCAGGAGTTATATTAAGCAATGATCTCAAAACGACTAGTCACTGTAAGGCTGCTGCTGCAAAAGGCTATAGGGTATTATGGTCAATTCGTAGGTTTTTTCAGTATTTAGATGATGAAATGTTTGGATTACTATACCCGATTTATGTGCGACCACATTTAGAATACGGGATTCAAGCAGCGAGTCCTTGTTTCAAATATGAAGCAGATATGCTAGAAAGAGTCCAACGACGAGCTACTAAGATGGTACAGGGTCTATCTGGCCTATCTTATGAAGACAGACTGAGACACCTTAACTTATTTCCGTTATCTTACCGTAGAGTACGGGGTGATCTAATATTGGCTTATCGTATACTGAACGATGACCTTGGTATTAACATGTCTTATCTTTTGCTTCCGTCTAGAACCGATCATTTGAGAGGACATTCGAAGAAAGTTCAAAAACCGAGATCGAACCGTTTACGTCTGGAGTTCCGTTTCTCGCACCGAGTAGTGAATTACTGGAATTCTCTACCGGAACACGTAATATCAGCACCGTCTGTTAATATATTCAAAACGAGATTGGACATCCACAGTATTACAAACTGCAAGGATTAATATAGGTCGACAGACCTCCTATCCTTATTACTGAAGCCTGAAGTAGAAATACGTTTTTCTCTACGAGTGGTCCCTGGTTGAAATTTCATACTTGGACAGGTGGTATCAACTCCGTAAGGTAATAACTCTTATGGAAGGTCGTAAGTTGCAAGGATTACTAAAGCCAATCTGACAACTAACCTTGTTTGAGATTTGAACAAGCATTCCGCCCTATATAAATTGGACGTAACTTTTGAAGGCTGGTTTTGTGGTTTTATGCCTTAGGTAGGTTTGCGTCTAGTCGGAATGTACCTTGTGTTTTTGAGGGATATTGAGAGTAGTAAGCGAGGTTATTCAGCGGCGAAAAGAACATGGGAATATGTGAGTCGACGACTCAGCAAATACATGAAATGAATTTCCGATGTGTGTAGTAAGGACAGAAGGTTTACGGCATATGTTATTCCTTTTCTAGTATGCTTCTGTGAGTGTCCAGTCTTCTCTTGAAAGAGTCAATTGAAGGTATGGACACCACTGTTACAGGCAGCAGCTTCCAAGTACTGATGACTCGGTGTGAAAACCTGTATGCCGCGGGTATTTTGTTCGTTCTTGGCTTTTCTACTCGCCTGCTATGTCCTCTGAGATGTCCCGATCTAGTGGGAAGTAAAAGAGAGGTGAAGTGAGGTCCAAAATAATTTCTCAGTATTCTGTACATCAAAAATAGATCTCCCCTTAGTCTGCGATTGGACAGAGTAAAGAGATCCAGCTTTTCAAGCCGTTCTGTGTATGGTAAACCTCTGTCACGCCCAAGTTTTCGCTCGTTCGCTTCATTGAAGTACGGTATGTCGATCTATTTGCAATTCACGAACCCAAATTAACAATAGAAGCAAGTTCCAGTTTATGTACCAAAGTTTATCCGCGATTTACAAATAGTCGACTCAAATATCGTTCTAACAACAATAATTACAACAATTACAAAACAAACTTTCAGTTTTGTAGGTTCCCGGAGCAAAAGCTCCCAAATACCAAACCAATGACAAAACGAAATCAAAATGTCCGAAAGGAATGATATAAACAAACAAGTTCAAATGTTAAGTAAAATAAATACATCCAAAAACAGCAAAATTATTGATGTACAGTAAAAACGTTCTAATCAGCCAAATGTTTCCAGTTCTCCTGTAACACCCCGGAGTTCTAAAATTGCACGGGTAGCTGCCCTCTGTACTTTATCTAGGATATCCGAGTCACCTTTCAAACAGGGGCTTGCAGCCTGAACGCTGTTCTCAAGCTTAGTTCTCACTAAGGATGTGTATAATGTGGTGAACATTTTAGTATCTAACTTAGTGGATGTCCGTTTTAAATCCCAGAGGGTTCGAAACCCCTTAGCTGCGACCTCCCGGCAATGGGCCGTCGTCTTAAGAGCATGTCTCACTGCCACCTCTAGATCCTTATGTGACCGGACTACGGGTAATGGCACTTCTACTATGTTGTACCTATTAACCTTTGTATCCCTAAACTGCGTGTAGACACATTTTTCCGCGTTGGTAGGCATCAGTCACTCTTTAGACCAGTTTATCATATTAGTCTGCCTAAAAAGCGTGTGCGTCTGCGTCTCCAGTTATTACTCGCCAAATTTTTACATCGTCAGCGTATAATAACATTGGTGACTGTGTTGTACTTGGGAGATCATTTACATACAGTATAAAAAGTAAAGGACCTAGAACGGAACCTTGACGTACTCCACTATGTACTGGTCTTCAGATGGAGCACTTGAAATTTATTCTTACTTTTTGTCTACGACCTACTAGGAAATCCTTAATCCATTTTAAAAGAGGTCCGGCAATACCAAGGTTTCCCGACTTCAATAGCAGTCTATTAGTTGGCACCTTGTCAAAATCCTTACTGAAGTCTATGTAGACAGCATCCACTGAATTTGCGTTGTCTAGCGCATTAATCCAGAACTCCCTTACTATAAGGATGTTCGTTATACAGGATAGACCCTTTCTAAAACTATGTTGTGCCATGTTCAGCAAGTTATTGGTTTCCATAAATGTCGTTATGGTCCGTTTGATTATTCTTTCCAGTATTTTAATTACAACACTGGTGAGGCTTACGAGTCTGTAATTCGATGGAACTTGTCGTGGACCTGTTTTATGTATGGGAGTGACGATTGCATCCTCCCAGTCCATAGGTAACACACCTTGGTCAAGTGACATTTTGAATATCACAGTCAGTGGGGCCGTGATATATTGGGCAATATGTCTCAAGATTTTGGGGTGTAGTTCATCTGGTCCTGTTGACTTCTCCATGTTTAGGGTGCTAAGAGCCTTAAGCACATCGTTTTGGTCGAAGTCCACGGTGAGTAGCTGGTTTGTTGACTCTGTATTCGGGTCTGGTTCTTTCTCTAGAGGAGGTTCCTGAGTGAAAACTGGCCCAAAATAGTCAGCCATAGCCTCTGCTTTTTCCTGATCTTCCTCTATCATTTCAAATTCACTTCCAACTTTAATTAGGTTGGGAATCCAATGATGCATCCTTGTTCTGTAGTTTATGTAGGAGAATATTCTCTTAGGCTACTTGAGTGCAGATTGTGCCAGCTGCATTTCATATTTTCTTTGAGCTTCCCGAATGTTTGTTATACACTCGTTTCTTATTGGTCTGTAGCGTTCCATCGTACCTGCTGTACCAAGGCGAATGGCAACATCCCAGCTGTTCTTCTTTTGTCTTAGTAAACGTCGAATATCCTGCCTTATCCAGGGATGTCCGTGCTTCTTTTTCTTTGGGACAGTCCAGGGTATGTATGGTTGAGTTACCCGATTGTATAACTGTCTGAATAGAGTCCATGCCTCTTGTACTGATGCCTTTGAGTCGATTTCCCCGTTCTCAGCCGACGCTGCGGTGTTAATTGCTTGCATATCTGCCTTCGATATGTTAGGACGGGCCGGCGCAACTGTTTGACAGGCAATCTCAGCCATGAATTTGAATAAAATGACTGCATGGTCACTTCTCCCAAGTGGTGGGAGAAAAGCCATTTGACCAACGTCATCACCGTGTGTGAAGACTAAATCTAAAAGAGAAAAAGAGTTTCTTAAGTCGTACCTTGTGGGATCTCTAATGTGTTGGAATAATGTTAATCCAATAGAGGTTTATAACAGTTTGCAGTCAAACGACGATATCGATGACCATACTTCTAAGTTAACCCAGTTTATATATGGTGCATTAAAGTCACCTACTACAAGGCTTTTACCGTTGTTACACCAGGACTTAAGTTTACTTAGGATAAAATCATCTGCTACACATTCTGGACTGCGATATACTACAACTACTTCAATATCTTGCCGTCGGCATTTCAACTTACATCTCACCAGTTCACATGTCCCTGAGACATGTGCTACTGTCTCAGCTAATCTTATGGTTAGGGTACTTTTCGTGTACAGAATAACCCCGCCTCCCCTTCGGTTTAATCTATCAGCCCTGCTGGTTATGAAACCAGTCAACTGGATTTCACTATCTAATACTTCTGACGCAAACCAAGTTTCCGAGACAGCAATAACGTTCAATTTTTCTTTATCCACCACTGACTTGAGCTCCGCCATTTGATTTAGTAGGCTGCGAGCATTTGTGTAGCATACCTTTAAGTCTGTGGAGAGCTTTCTCTTGCCACCCGGAGAAATCCATAGCAATTAGGAATAACGCGAACGTGAGATGGAGATGACATAATAATCGAAATAAAAATTTGTTAGTTTAAGGTTTCGGACGCGTTTCAGTTTTCTTTGGAGGGGCTTAGTTAGTTCTTGCGAATTACCAGTGTAATTACATTGGTTGTTTCACATGTTGTTAGCGGGGCATAGACTGAATTAAAGCATGCTCAATGCACGATTGCTTTGGTGCACGCTGATTGGCTAATTCTTGTCCAATCAGCACTAGTCGATAATCGGAGAATACTCTAGAATCTTCTCATGTAAAAACCATAAATATACTAACGTTTTCTCTATTGTGCTTCCTAATTGCATCTTACTTCCATCTAACCTTGTTATTTGGAATATGATCTCCTTTCTGTTCGACCGTGTTCTGATTTGGGGTCTTGTCGAGTGATTTGGTGTCCAAGAATACTAAGTAATAGCAATAGCTGGGTCATAAATGTAAGAAGGAGATTATAACTTATGTCTATTGATAAAATTGCATTGCCTGAAACTAATGCTTAAATAACGGAATAAGCGATAAAAACTTCCGAATTGGGATATAAGAAAATCATATGTAATAGCATATACTGTGCGAAGTCAATTGACAAATGGACATCTAATTGTATAAAGAAAACCTAATGTTCTATAGGTCGTTATCTACAAAGAAGCCAAGCTAGAAGCAAAACGGTGGAAGAATAGGATTCCAGAATCGGAGATGGAAACGAGGATGAAGAAAAAACGAATATTAGTGTTCTGTGAATGTACTACAGTTAACGCAAATTTCACTCAACCATTGTGGTTCATATTAACCTTATATAGAATTTCTTCACATTTCTCGTATATATCACACTCTGTTTTTTTGTGCTTAAACATCTCGTTGTGCATGATTTAATGGGAAACTTAGAACAAGTAGAAAGTTATTGTTATACTTTCTAGTTGTTCGCATCTAGAATGTATAGAAGGTGGATGGCCTTCAGACTTGCTGTGATATGAACATCTGAATAAACCAGGTTCTTCCTCAAGCTTAGATTGAAGTCAACACTCAGTTTATTATCACTTGCCCATATCCGTATAAGCGGGCGTTAATTCATCGGAATATGCACTAAGAACTAAAAACCAAAATAATGCCTCTTAACTCACCGTCCCTAGTATATGTTCATATGATCATTGCTTTTTAATTACCGAACTTTCTTGCCAACTGCCTCTAGTACTTTTTGTATATTCAAAAATACCTAGTATCAAATACCTTAGATGGGGGGTTTTATCATACGCTTAACCTATACGTATGATCATGGTGTACGGTGGCGCAACTTCGTGGATTGGTTGAAGTTAGACATTAACACCGTTGGATGCCGGCTCAGTGGTCTAGTGGTTAAGTGCTCGCGCGCGAAGCCAGTAGGTCCTGGGTTCGAGCCCCGCGTGGTGCGGGGTCGTGGATGCGCACTGCTGAGGAGTCCCATACCAGGACGAAACGGTCGTCCAGTGCTTCCAGGTTTTCAATGATGGTCTAGCTTCAACTGACTCATGATTTCAACCTGTGAAAATTTCTAAAACTCTCCACAAAACCCATTATGATACTCGTTAAGTCTTTAATCCTCTTCCAAATCTCGTCCACGAAATAAGTTTTTCAGATTCCTATACACTTACTTAAAATCTCTTTCAGTTATTTGACTATATGGGTAGTCAACAGTCGTCAAATGCTTATATGATACCTCTCAAACTAGACGAGTTGCATTATTACAATCTGCCTGACGTTTATATGGTTATTATTATATTTGAAAAATTCCTATATTGTGATTTAGAACAATATTGTTTTCGATTAGATCCTCATCAGGCTTTACTCTAATATACAGTAATGTATTTATATGCATATATGAAGTTATTAAACCAATTAAGGTAGTTTATGAGTCAATGATAACAATGGAATAGACTACATAAATAAACATAATAAGTGAAAAGTACAAATTGGTAGTGTGATGAAAGGTGTACCAGTTGTGATAAGAATAACAAAGTGTTCAGATAATTGGACCGTAGACACATTACATAATTTTAAAACTTTTATAAATGTTATTTCAGTGTCTATATTTTTTCTAATTATTAACCCATTTCCTATTATGTAACATTGATTCAAGCCTTCATTATTGCTTATCGCAACTAGTACACCTTTCATCACACTATCAATTTATACTTTTCACTTATTTATGTAATCTGTTCCACTGTTATCACCACTGAATCATAAACTTCCCTGATTGGCTTAATAATTTTCTATATGCATAGAAATACATTACTGTATATTAGAGTAAAGCCTGATTCGGATCTAATCGAAAACAATATTCGCTTATATATGTGATTTTGTTACGTAGAAATTACAAATCGAGCTAGGAAAATTATATAATCACAGGATTTTTGACACCTGGGTTTTGTATAAACTGTGAATGTATGTATGTGTTACTATCCTGATCTCCAAATCAGTTACCATCTTAATAGTTCGATGCACTAATATAAACAGACTACAAGTAACATGTGACCTTGTGTGTCAGTGTATTAAAAACTTTCTACATTTTTTTAATAAGGCTACCATAGCGAATCATTATTTATTTATTTATTTGGACACATATATATAGGTACAGGAGTGCGCCAAATATATATGCGCCACACAAAACAATGAGAATTTAAGAAAAAAAAAGAAAAAGGTGGGGGACGTAAAAAAATATTTAAAAAAACAATAACGAAGAGATTGGCGTAAGGTAGTGTAATAATAATAGTAATAGTATGGGAACAAAAGGGTACAATCAGAAGAAATCTTTCAGTTAAGGAAGATACAACCACGTTTTATGAAGAAAGTAAAAGAATGTTACAGCATGATCGTCACTGGCTTCTATTCTGAGCCATATCTGATAACGTCTCTAGCCACTGTGTTGTACCATCTCTCGGACCCCAACCAGGGAGTCGTGAAGGACCGACACGGGCCAGCCCTTTGCAGCTTTCTTTCATACCACGACACCATGTCATATACTATTTATTTATTTATTTATTTTAACACATAGACATTGGTACAAGGAGGCACCAAATACATATGCGCCACACAAATCCCATTCGATATGTGTGAGGGCTATAATACTGCCCGGGTGTCCAAACCGAAGCAGGCATGTCGGCAAATAATGCACGGCGTGGAATTCTCTGGGACGACATTCGTAGAACATGTCCAAGCCACCGAAGTCGGTGTTTCAAGATGGTGACACCAATTGCGAACCAAAACATAGGTCAAAAGGTTGATGAACTTGATGCATACAATTGTCATGTCCATCTTACTAATTATGTTTAGATGTTACCATGTTCTGAAACAGCCGAGCGTAGAAAGAGTTCGCTCTCTTTCACTCTCTCTGAAAATGCTTTCATATGGCCGCATGTATATAGACACTTCCAAAAACGTCACTCTTGCGGTGGGGTTGTCGTTTACGAAATCGAGGGGACGAAGAGCAAATATCCGGAGCTTTAACCGGGTTGATGGATATGAAGGATCCATCTAAGGGAGCAGGAAAACCCAGATTCCAAACCAATGCTCCACATGGGCTATAGGATCATAAGGGAATGAATGGCGTATGAACCTATTGTTGGTCACCGGCTACCATAGGACAGTATCTCCTAACGTTGCTCCACTGCTTTGTGGGTTACACCCTAAGGACAAAGGGTCGGGACGTGGCCCCTTTAGAAACCACCCGCTTCGGTTGGGGCACTCGGGTAGTATCCTAGTCCACGCAAACCAGTGATAATTACTACTGGGAAAATTACTTTTACTTCAACGCTCATTCAGACCAATCATTCTATAAAATTCGCTTCCATTTCTTTTATACTACGCCAATTATGTATTCCCCTTTATCCTCATTTTCCATGTATCACTTTTCAACTTATACAGTAGCTCACCTATGGTTGAAACCCTGTCCTCTCTAAGCGATCTCAAGTCACTGAGTGGTCGAAAATTAAATGCTACCAATAAATACGAATTATGAACAAGTCTTTCTGAAACCAAATGTGCATCTGTCTGGTTTTGCTGGCGTTAGTGTCACACTAAGCGATGGAACTGAGGCAGCACTAATCAACTGGATCCCCACTAACAGTCGACTATGTAATTTCAGACTAGAAAGCTCCATCAAATTGAGAAGAAATCGGTGTGATGAAGGATATCCTGCTGTCATCTCTACCTAAGCTCTAATTGATTACAGTCCGAATGGGACCAAGCTCTTTTGCCACCAGTTAACTGTTCTACAAAAAGTGCGTTCGATAGATATTGCAGTACTAGCCGGAGACTTGAATGCTCAGACGAGAGTCGTTTATGTGGCTGATGAGAATTTTTGGTCATAGGTTAGATAACGGGGACTGTCCACTGCAACTTTGCGCAGACTACAACCCGTTTCCGGCTAACATTAACTATCGGTACAGCTATCGCCGATGTTTTTCCTGGTACTCTCTCTCTGCATCTCAAGCTTCAACTCAAAATAAACACATTGCGATCAGCTACCGCTGGCATGGTTGTGTACAAAAATGCCTCTCTTTTCGGAGTAATTATCTGAACTTTGATCATGTCCTTGCCTGCACTAATCTTATGTCGCGTTTTAGTAGCCAACAAATTCATCGCTTTAAACAGATCGATGTCAGCAAATTGGTTGCAGCTTCCGTTGAAACTAAATATCAAGCCGAGCTAGGTTAAAGGCTAGTTATCGACCCACCAAGAGATAATGATGGACATTGGCTTCGATTGCATGGTTCCACGGAGATGATTAGTAATGTTTCTTGCGACTTTGCAAGAATGGGTTTACGTCACCTATGCAACAACTCAGCGATATTTCAATTAGTGTCACTATCTTGAAGCATGGACTTTGGTGGCTTCCGTTGTTCGTTCACTAATCCCTGGTTGGTCTCATAGAGATGACGCAACACCTGCTTGGGACATTATTAGATATGGTTCGAAATGGAAGCCAGTGGCAATCTTGCTGTAATCTTCTTTGTACGAGCGAGAGGAGCTTTAACTGAAAGAATCCTTTCTGGTTGTATTTTTCTTAACTGAACTTCTCCCATTATTAGTATTTTGGTGATTATTGTTGTTCCACTCTCATACACTAATTTCTATCCATGTTTGTTCTTTTTTTATTATACTAACCCTCTATTCTTTATCTCCTCATAACCGCATTTTTATTGTGTCGCGCATATATATATATATATATATATATATATATATATATATATATATATATTGGTACCCCTTCATACCAATTTTTTGTATAAATAAGTAAAGAGTGCATCGTGATGTCTTCTGGTAATTATGCTGCTCCTCTCCATAAATTAGAATTAATAACCCCTATAGTTCCTCATGTGGCCCAGACAACCAATTATTTAGTAAGTCCCAGACAATAAAGAAGAAATTTTCAAGTCTCAAATATCTCGAAATTTATTCGTTCTACTGAAAATCTTTTACTGTGTATTCGATTTTAGACTACTATTATGAAGAAAGCTCCGTACGACAAAAATGCTCCAAGGCGACCTCTTTCAGCATTTATGTTGTTCATGAAAAAGCGCAGACAAGAATCAGAATATATTGCTTCGCAGTCATTTTCAGATAGAAATCGTATTATTGCTACTGAATGGGCTGCTCTATCTGCTGAAGAGAAACAAGTATATACTGACCAAGCTGCCGAAGATCGTGAGTTATACAAAAAATTGTTTGCTGAATACAAAACTACTGATAATTACAAGAAATGGTTAGCTTCCAATGAAACGGTCAATGCTAACGGGCCCAAAGCTGGATGTAAACGACCAGTAAAACAAATATCACATACTAAAAACAATGACATAGAAGCAGATTGCAAAATTTCAATATTTACTCATGAATTTCTGGAATACAACAGACTTCGTGAAGTTATCTTGCGTCAATTGAAGAAACACGTTAGTTACATTTCAATGTATAACCATTGCCTTTCGTAACAGCTAATTAGGAAAAGCACAAACATCTTAAAAATGAATCCACTTTTAAATGTTTTGAATTATCCCGTCGTTGATATTTTGACTGGAATTTTACCAGTCTTGGTTAGAATATGTGAATTCTGTGCGGATTGTCTTGATATATCTATTATGATAGAAGTTAATATATATTCTATATTAAGATGGGTGACTTAGTGGTCGACCGCTTCAATCACTAAATCAGTCTTTAACATAGAAATAGTTTATCAGAAGTGCATAAGATATAAAAAATAATAAGACGAAAATCTTTAAAACGTTTTAACTAGTGTTGGGAGCAAATTTACCGATTACAAGCCTAGGTACTCGTTTTTGAGCGACACGTTTATAGTGATGCTAACTGGCTCTAGGTTAGTTTGAACCTACGACTCAGCAGTTGAAGGTCTTAACCGCTGTCATTGCAAAAATCGCACTTTACACATTTGCAAACCGAAAGACCATTTCTTCACTGACTATTCTTCTGAGATTATTGTGTATATTTTTATGGGATTAGTATTGTTTATTGTTTAAATATTTGGTAATTAGCATCTGGATTCAATGTACGATGCAATATATCTAACAAAAAATCTATTGTTTATATTGTACAAGCTAATAGGAAATTATAATGACAAAAATGGGGGTGACGCATTGTGAAAGTCTTAATATGCGTAAATTAACCGCACCCCTGATTTCTTCTGGCTTAATTGGCTGTTTATGTAGGTGTTACCACCTCTTTCATTGGTTCTCAACGTCTATAATCGCTGATTTGAGAATTCGCCAAGAACGCCTGCGAAAGTCCAAAATACACACATACAAATAATGTGAACCCAATACAATTCTGTCCACAACATCACAGTATACATTAATCGTCCTTTAGTTTAGGAACCACTGGAAGAATATTCGTCAAGCTCTCTGTATTAAAGTTATATATAATTCTCTCGTACACCACAGTACTAATGGTCATGTATACTTTTTATGAGTAAGTGGCTTATTAGTTAAATAACTCAGTATTCAACTAATTAGTGTGCCAACTCACCCCACCTTCATCAGTTTGTGCAGAAAGGTGAGGTTACTAGCTTTCACACAAGTACTGTAGTTTAAGGCTAAATGCGAAACCCCTACTTGACAAATGGAGGAGAAATTTCATCATAATCATGTATATGGTATGAAATACTGCCTAGACTGAACCAAGCAGTTTCCTTATGGGATCGCTTCAGAGCTTTTGACACAAAGAACTACTACAAAATTCAGCCCCATGGTAGCCGAAGACCAGAATAGGTTGGTACGCCATTTCTTCCCTTTTGGATTAGGGAACACATATAGACCACTGGTTTAGAATCAGAATCTTCCAACTCCTATATTTGGACCCTCCGTAGTTTCCTCTATTTCTTCACAATATCACCGCTTCGTTTATGTGACGCATTCCTTTTTGGTGCCTTATTGTGACGAGATTTGAATAAATCAATGGAACATTAAACTCTTAGTAAATGAGTTACACTACTATTGTCATACTTTTTCCAGGTATCACAACTTGAAGAAGAAACCGCTCTACTAAGTAAGCATGTGGAAAATCTTGTAAATGCTGAAAATCGGACAAAAAATCAAATTAATACAACGAAGGAATTACTAACCAATGAAGAAAATTTATTGAAACAGCTATGTAAAGAGTTAACAGTTGCTTTAAGCGATGTAAGTTAATTTTACTGAAGCTCATGAAATGTGATAGTTTAATGTATAAAGCAAGTATAGTTTTGTGTACTCAATAAAGTAGAATTTCAGTAATATGTATGTATAGTTAATTAAGTGGTGTTATATCTTACTTCTGTTTACACTACACATTCACTGTTAGTAAATCTAGTATCTGAGATACTTATCAAAATTGATTTTGGATATTATCTGATTGTGTGACATATCCGTGATAAATACAACAAAAAAAACAAAATATCCTCTAAATTGTATGAAGAGAACATTAATATCGCCGTGTTATTTTGTCTTAGTTATGATATATTATAAGTAATAAATCACCAAATTGTGCTTCGACAATAGCAAGTTTACAGGATTTCTCTTCGCGATTTGTCGTGTCTACTTATAGTATCAATCGATTCTTTGTCTAGTGAAATCTGTGCTAGAAAGAAGCTACTGGATCACCAGTATTATTGCCTGTCTTTACGAACGCGGATAGTAACTAACACTCATGATACTCGTATAACATCATGAGGGGTTAAGCGCTAAAATGAAGTCAGGCCCAAATCTCAAGCAAATAAGTAAACAACAGCAAAACGGTTCATATTTCTTGTTCATTATGGAATGAAAGCCAAATTAGTCCCCAAATTGGAAATCTCGCAGATCGGATTCAACTCATCGGACTAGGTGGACAAAAAAGTTGATGACTGACCATTGAACGATAAGTCAGTCGTCGCCTGAACTGATCAGTGTATATTTCTTCAAGCATATCTCTGAATAAACTAAGCACGTTATTCGCTCATTAACTTCGTCTTATCGATTTGATAACCTTGCTATTTCTAAGTATAAAGAGTGGCTCCTGTTAAAAACATTTTTTCTGAATGCGATTCTCTCCCTCGAAATGCAAAATGTTGCTTCAGGATTGGGTTACATCGACACCCGAACTAGTGATAGGGAGTGAAGTAGTTGAGTCTGTCGACCGCTTCACTTATCTTGGAAGTCTCATCAGCCCTTGTGGTCTGGTGTGTGACGAAATCTCAGCACGGAGACAGAAGGCTCGACTAGCTTTTGCCAACTTGCGTCATTTATGGCGTAGGCGAGATATTCGTCTATCAACCAAAGGATGTGTTTACTGCGCAGCAGTTCGTTCCGTCCTACTTTATGGCAGTGAAACATGTCCGGTAAGAGTAGAGGATATTCGTAGGTTACTAGTATTCGATCATAGGTGTCTTCGAAATATTGCTCGTATATCCTGGGACCATCGAGTAAGTAACACAGTTGTTAGGAAACGGGTACTAGATAAGGATGGCAAATCAATTGATGAAGTAGTGAAACTTCATCAGTTGAGATAGCTGGGACACGTGTTACGTATGCCCAACGACCGACTGCCTCGACGTGCGATGTTTTATGGTGTAGGAGTAGGATGGAAGAAAGCTAGGGGCTGCCAGACCAAAACATGGCACAAGTCCATGAAGTCACTGACAAGTGCACAGAGTGATTCATGTTGGTAGGTGTAGACTAGCTGGTTGGGGACCGCGAGATGATAGCAACCGATGGTTAGAGACCCTGAATGACATGGCTCAAAATTGTTTGCAATGGCGCAGGTGCATACACTCTTTGTGTTCTCTCGAATTTGGATCTCCTTGTCTCTTTTTTTTTCTCTTCCCAAATTTATTTCACTGTATTATACTCTTTAAATAACATCTCCAAACGTTAATCTTCCCGATTACTGCTTATACTCTTATTACCTCTACCACTACGGGATTTGAATCGACAACTGCATCTCTGTGCTAATGTGGTGTGGCAACTCGAACTGATGTATGTACGTACGAAGTTCTACGTTGTTACTGACTGACTGACATTATATATATGGCATATTTTCTCTCTAGATCTTTGTAAATAAAGAAATACTACTTCCTGTCCTTAAACAGGAAGAGATGAGAACAGTGAGCCTCATTGGTTTATTTTGGTTTAAGGTTTGTCAATACCTCTTAATCTCAGATTGTATCTTAAGTGTCAAGGAAAATTCTCCACTTGTTATTTGAGGTTGTTGTAGATGTCATATGTTATACTTAAACTTAAGAAAACACTACATTGAGTTCTACAGTATCCTGAAAATTATCAGTATGATTATTAACTGTATATATTTTAGGTTAATTATAAAATATGATTATGAAATGGACATTTGGATTTTTATAGACTGTCAGATAAAAGACATTAGGTCAATTCAAAAGCATTCCTTCGTCTATCCTTTCCAATATAAGATTTCATTCGTGCAAGGATTATGCTGTGTTGTGTGGAGTGTTGAAAGTTGTTCATAGGGTGTGGCGAAAACTACTACAATATTTCCCATGTAACCACAAACGAATGAACACATATAAAAAATGAATTACGATTATCATAGACAACAGTTTGTTCATGATACAACTTTGTAACCAAATACCTATTTGTGTACACTAATTTGATCTACTCTTTAATTTATGATGAAGATCAGTAATACTGTTCAAATTGAAGTGGTATGAAACAGAGTTTGAACTTGTAACTTAATGGTTAAAATCTAAATATTTCTAACTATAAAATAGGTACCCTGACAACAATTTAACTATAAAAAAAATTAGATTTTATTTTCATTATAATATACAAAAAATGATACATATGATGTTTATTTTTTTTTTTAATATAATTATTTATTTATTATTAGGTCACTTTATCCAATAATACATCCGATATAAGTTTCAAAGGAATTGAACGTATTACAGAAACTAGTGTGGAATCTTTTCTTTCAAAATTAGAATCATTAAAAAATTCTTCATCTTATTTAGAATTATCATCAAAAATTATACAATCTATTCGTTTAGCTTGTCAAAAGAAAATAATTAAATTATTAATTTATGAAATAAATTAAATGAGAAAATTCTTTTTTGTTGTTTTTAATATTTAAATGTTTGTTTGTTTTTTTTATTTGTACTTTTATTTACAAATTACTATCACTAAGATAATTGTTTTATATACACAGATACTTATGTTACATGATCAACAATAGAGAGAAAATTAGTTTTCTATTTATTTATTTTATACATTCTAATTATTGTCTCATTTAAATCATTCTCCCCATGGTCTATTGACTCTTTTATTCTCCCATTTAGTTTTTTTAAAGGATTCAGTAATTTCTTTATGAAATTCAAGAATATAATCTTCATTTAAATTAGGTAATTGTGTTGTCAATCGCTTTTTTTCATGAATACAATAACGCATATATGTTAAATAATAAGCTGAAATTATCATTGATCCAATGAAAGGTACTATACGTAGCCAAACAGAATGATTAGACATTTTATTCTATTTGAATTCAAAAAAATCGAGTGTAGGGAACTGTAAAAACAAAAGAAAATATTTGAAATTATTGCATACATCGGTTAATAAGTTGAAACATTAACTTTAGTTTATCAATACACATGTGACATGTCTCAGAAGCGATCACAATGGTGTAGATGTATACACTCTTTAACTTCCCTTAAACTAAGAGATTAAAATCACTTCATATCTTTCTTTCTACGAACTAATTCTTTCTTCCTGTATTATGTCATTATATGCAATCTTTCTTTAATATATTACCAGCACTGAATGAACTACTTTTATGAATCCTGTGTTCATCTTGTTGTGTTAATGTGATATGGCAATTTGGACCGATGTATACATGTGCCTGGTCCTACGTTGCAGCTGACTGACAATACACATGTAGTCGCATGCTTTTGACCTTGAAATGAACCAAACACCTGGTATTCCTAGTACTTTTAAGTAAAGCCAATGATCTTCTTGTAAGTACTATTGATGTCTAACTGTAAAAGGCAATTCATACATATCACAAATTGTACACCCCCTTGATTTTATAAGGAAATTAAAGCTCATTTTCAAGACTTGAATGTCTACTCATAGTTTTGAATAATCTGGAAGCGATTATAGTCACAGACATCAAAACGCTTCACGGAGCTATTCGTATTATTACACCTGCCATAGCTTAACTAGTCCTATGAAGTGACAGGCAAGCTTTCGTGCGTCGTGACGTAATATGATAGGTCAAGCTAGTAAGGTGACTTACGAAGAACCTTACAAGCCCTCAAACGAGGCGTCGGCAACTATAGACATACATTTGACCGGATAGAAGCGGTGAATCTATTTGATTGGTTGTAGTTTAAGATTACCCTATTGTGCAGGAACAGCGGATTGATCTGACTGGACAATCTGAACAGCTAATGTAATGGGAAGTGTCGACCTTCTAGATTTTTGATTTTACGAAAGATATCTGTTGTCATTTCGTGTTGACGTGGGAAGTTGTTTCTTGCTGTAATCCCTTTTAAAACCAATATTGAAAACCTGTTCTCTTTATAGCTCTTTCTATGTAATATATACGCTTTTTCGGCAGGAAATTCTGTCAAAGTTTTATGTCTAGTCCCCTTTGATTTTTTGCTGTGACTGTAAACTGCCGAGCAAAAGACACGATACAGTCAGTCAGTCACAACGTAGGACCGGGCACATATATTTATCTTGAGATGGTGGGGAAGATTTGTAGCTCAGGTAGGTGATTTTGGTGGAGTTTTGTTCTCTGAGCTGGATGGTTTGGTCGTGGAGCTTTCATCGTTCTTCTGAACGACATCATCAGCACAAACTTCAGATAGAAGTGAAGTGTTCAAATTTCTCCTCACTATTACTTACCCGGTGATCCCAGCAGATGCCAGCAATATTTCTAAGGCATCTGTGGTCAAATACTAGTAGCCTACGAGTGTCTTCTACTCTTAATAGCCACGTTTCGCTACCTTAAATTAAAACAGAACGGACTGCCACGCAGTATATTCGTCCTTTTATTGATAGACGGATATCTCGCCTCCGCCAAAGGTGACGTAAGTTGGCAAAAGCCAAACGAGCTTTTCGAATCCGTGCTGAGATTTCGTCAGACACCAACCCATTAGGGCTGATCAGACTTCCAAGATAAGTGAAGTTGTCAACGCGTTCGACTACTTCACTCCCTATCCTTAGTTCAGGTGTTGACGCACACCAGTCCTGAAGCAGCAGCTTGCATTTCGAGGGAGAGAAGCGCATTCCAAACATTCTGGCATTATTGATTAGTGCTACCAAAAGACTCAACATTTTATCAGCGTCTTCACCAAACAGGACTATATCATCTGTGTATTCTAAGTCGATAAGTGGACCTCCTGGATGGAGATCAATACCCGAGAACTCATTCGACGAGAATGTTATTTCCATCAGTAGATCTATGATGAAGTTAAACAAAAATGGAGAAAGTGGACAGCCTTGACGGACACCACTTGAGGTTGCAAAAGCAGATGACAGTTCGCCATAAGCTCTCACTCGACTGGTAGTGTTCGAGGAAAGAGCCCTCACAAGGTTTATGTACTTCTGAGGTACGCCTTTCAATGACAGACAATGCCACAGAATCTCGCGGTCTACCGAATCAAATGCTGCCTTTAAGTCAAAAAAGACCACCATTGTCGGACGCCGATAGGTATGCCTGTGTTCTAGAACCTGACGAATGGTGAATATGTGGTCGATGCAGCCACGACCAGGTCTAAAGCCAGCTTGGTTCTCTCGTGTTTGCAGTTCACGAGTCTTAGTTAGGCGTCTGATAATTATCGAGGCTAGTATTTTAGATACTATATTAGTTAAGCTAATCCCTCTATGGTGTCACAGGATGATTTTAACCCTCTTATATTTCATAGGTTGAAATATATATATATATATTGAGACGATAAGTGATTGTGACCAGTCAGATGGAATAACGTCTAACTCCCAGATCTTAGCTAAAATATTAGTCAACCTAATCACTAAAATTGGACCACCACCCTTAAAGACCTCTGGAGCCAATCCATCTGGACCGGCTGCTCTTCCTCGTTTCAGATTAGCTACAGCCTTTTGAATTTCAGCTAGAGTTGGGGGACCTACTTCAATGTTCCATTCACACTGTCTGGGAATGGAGGGTAGTTGTAGAGTAGCTGAAGGCCAGCTGAACTGATCTCTGAAATGTTCCGCCCATCGTTCTAAACGTCTGGACTGAGAGCAGATGAGAGTGTCGTCTTTTTCCGAAATAGTCTGACTTACACCTGACTTATTAATTCCAGTTTCCTTTATTAGTCTGTAGAGCTGTCTTGTGTTCACTATAGTCGCCGCCTTTTCCATCTCGTTTGCTTTCGTTGCCCACCACTGCTCACGGTCGTTTCTTAGACTTTTTCTTAACCTGGATCTGATTTGTCGCTCTTCATCATGTTCGGAACCTGATGGGACGAGTTTGCGAGAATCCATCAGTGTGATAGACTTTGAAGAAATTCACTGGTTCTTTGTAACTCTGTGGTTTAAATCACTAGTAGATTTCATTGCTGTTTCCACAGCTGTTTGTATAGCTTTCCAAGCAACATCTGGGTCAACCTCGTCTTCACAACTACCTAATTGTGACCTCAGTTGTTCCTGGAACCTACTTTTGGTTTTCTCGTTACTCAATTCAGTTCTAATGGGTCTTTTTACTGTGGCTTTTTCGCGTCCAGTGAGGCGCAAGCAGATGCGTGCCCGTATTAGGGCATGGTCGGAGTTTAAGCAGGTACTCCAGAATGAGCGACAATCTTCTACCGACCCTCTCCAACGACGACTGATTGCAATATGGTCTATTTGAGTCCATCGTTGGTTTGGTGTAGGGGGTCGCCATGTTAGAAGATGTCTGTCCTTATGCTTAAAATTTGTGTCTCCTAAAAATAAAAGATTGTCTGAGCACAGTTGCAGCAGACGATCACCATTATCTGTTCGCTGAGCCGGAATACTGAAATACCCACGTAAATGCCTTTCTGTTTGGTTTAAACTACCTATCTGGGCATTAAAGTCGCCTGCTACGAGTACTATGTCTGAACGTTTAGCTTTCTGAAGAAGTTCAGACAGCTTTCTGTAAAATTCATTTCATCTGAGCTGCAGTTGGTGAGTCAGTCAGTCAGTAACAACGTAGAACTTCGTACGTACATACATCAGTTCGAGTTGCCACACCACATTAGCACAGAGATGCAGTTGTCGATTCAAATCCCGTAGTGGCAGAGGTAATAAGAGTATAAGCAGTAATCGGGAAGATTAACGTTTGGAGATGTTATTTAAAGAGTATAATACAGTGAAATAAATTTGGGAAGAGAAAAAAAGAGAGACAAGGAGATCCAAATTCGAGAGAACACAAAGAGTGTATGCACCTGCGCCATTGCAAACAATTTTGAGCCATGTCATTCAGGGTCTCTAACCATCGGTTGCTGTCATCTCGCGGTCCCCAACCAGCTAGTCTACACCTACCAACATGAATCACTCTGTGCACTTGTCAGTGACTTCATGGACTTGTGCCATGTTTTGGTCTGGCAGCCCCTAGCTTTCTTCCATCCTACTCCTACACCATAAAACATCGCACGTCGAGGCAGTCGGTCGTTGGGCATACGTAACACGTGTCCCAGCCATCTCAACTGAAGAACTTTCACTACGTCATCAACTGATTTGCCATCCTTACCTAGTACCCGTTTCCTAACAACTGTGTTACTTACTCGATGGTCCCAGGATATACGAGCAATATTTCGAAGACACCTATGATCGAATACTAGTAACCTACGAATATCCTCTACTCTTACCGGACATGTTTCACTGCCATAAAGTAGGACGGAACGAACTGCTGCGCAGTAAACACGTCCTTTGGTTGATAGACGAATATCTCGCCTACGCCATAAATGACGCAAGTTGGCAAAAGCTAGTCGAGCCTTCTGTCTCCGTGCTGAGATTTCGTCACACACCAGACCACAAGGGCTGATGAGACTTCCAAGATAAGTGAAGCGGTCGACAGACTCAACTACTTCACTCTCTATCATTGTTTTGGGTGTCGATGTAACCCAATCCTGAAGCAACATTTTGCATTTCGAGGGAGAGAATCGCAGAAACGACAAAAAGGCAACGACGTGTCTCGGAGACACAGTATACATCAATGGCACGAGTTACCAGTGTTCTAGCCAAGGAGGCCTGCTGACCGATTTGACAGTGTGCGTACGTTGAAGGCTCCAATGTGTAGTTTGGAGCGAGGTTCTAGTAGACCTCGGAGTGTTTTGAGCACTAGAATCGTTGGTTATGGTGACACTTGAGGGGGAAGCCGAAAAAGGAAGTTTAGAGGTGAAAGTCGATGTCGGAGCAATAATAGGAAGTGAAGACGGAGGTCTTGAGTGCTGTTAGAGGTATGAGGCCGATTGTCATTTCCCGATTGCCCATACTGTGGAAGGGTTCTTCTGGAGGTACCTGAAAAGGAAATTGTATTAGAGATGGTCTTAGTGACCCGAGAGCGTGGCCACAGTGCCCAA